AAGAGAAATAATTAAAGTGAAAATAAATTGAAAAAATATTAAAGAATGCAGCAGGTATTATTTTAGTGTACATCCAAGATTTAATGGATTCTTACGTAAGATCTATAATTAGATCTTGGGTACAAGATAATACAGTTATCTTGTACCTGAATTTCCAAGATCTGTTAACAGATCTGTACCTTGTATCTTGGCCAAGATCTTGCTTAAAAGATGTTTGTCTAGGGAGACACTCTTATTATCAATGCAAGAAACGAGAAGAAATTTTGGGCAATTTAGTATTTTAAATAATTTACTTTAAATAATTTCCTTGTACTTCGAGGTACTTTGAAGTATTTCGTGGTACTTTGAAGTACTTTGAAGTACTTCGTGATACTTTAAAGTACTTTGAAATACTTCGAGGTACTTCCAAGTACTTCGGGATACTTTGATGTACTTTTGTACTTTGAGGAGTCAAAGTACGATGTTTCCCCCTTGTATAAATCGATGCGCTAGAAAGTTGATCATGAATAAACGTCATTTTCATTTTCAAGATTTACCAGTCGAACGTTTACGTCATGTTTTCAAATATCTCGCTCCTCACGACCTTGCTAATCCTTTCGAAAGGCTCAAGCAACAATTTGACATTATGCTTGCTCAACAACCACTATGCTTACCGAATAATCGACAAATGAGTATTCAGTTATATTATTATTATTTAAAGAAAATTGTTAGTAAACATGCTTCACAGATTGTTTACTTTCATTTATCTGAACGAAGTGCACCATGTGCAATAGATTCCTTTCTGCCTGAAGTGCCATTAAATAAGCTCACCTGGCTATCACTGAAAGCAGTGACCATTTAAGATGTTTCACGTAATGTCCTTGAAGCTTATCTAAAATTCAGTCATTATCACTCGATGTCGATTATCATCGATTTTATTGTGATCAATATGATGAATGCTTTGATTTCGTCATTGCTATTCAAGTTCTCAACTGTTTGCCTCAATTACATTCGCTCTATTTACGACTTGCGAGTAATGTTGGCAGTAATTTTAAAATGATATTTAGTGAAGTTTTCAATTAATGGATGTTCAAGAGAATTGCTAACTGAACTATTGAATAATGGTCATTTGCCACAACTACAGAATACACGCGTTACTTTTTCAATGTAAGTGACGGATCGTCGATGGAGATGATCAGCTAAATTTGTTCTTTTTTTTATGGTTTAGAGCTCATGACAATATTGAGAATGAGTTGTTACTTCAAATTTCATTAAAACATGCATTCGCATCTGAACTACGTCACACCAATCGAAAAATCTATGCAGGTGTAGCTTGGGTTTTAACTTTTGTCGAAGATCTTCAACGTTACAGTGGACTTGATTGAATGACTATATCAATTTATCAAAAGATTCGCTGATAATAGTCATTTTCCACGAGTAACAATATTACGACAGTGGTTAACTTTATCAAAATCGAAGATATTTACATTTAAACTGAACTTGGACATAATTTATGCCTTCAATAATAGCGAAACTCGAGAAGCGATCTTTGCCGAATATCGACTAACAACTGGTACAGAATCTGCAGCACGATATGGAAAGAAATCGATAGTAATAATGATTCAACGTAGAGCGTCGAATGCGTTGAAGACGCACCAGTGAACGACTATGCTGAAGAAGTAAGTTCGATGAACGAAAATGAACTTCACATCACTATGCTCTCTTTGTGTAGATCGACACTTATGAACTGGATTATGTCGAAGACGAACGGCTCGTTCAATTGGCAGCAATACATTGTTGGCATCATTTGAGGGAAATTAATCTCGAAGGTGATTATCCTGACGATACGTAAGTGTAATGCCACAGATTTATTACTGATTCATTTTTTTTTGAATATAATCTAGTAGCGTTGTTGGCGATAATATTTCGCATTTACTTCATACTGCTCAACGATCACTCTATTTTAGTGAACTATATATCGAATTAGATCTGGATTATGGTTGTGTGCTTTCATTGAATAAACAATTGGGAAGGTTACTTGGTCGCCAACTTTCAATCTTACATTTTACTACTAAAGAAGCTAATAGTTCACTTGGTGATCTTGTTCGTGTTATTGATAACTTGGGTGTGAGTGAGTTTAAACAATCTGCAACTGTACTCATGCTCCATACATACCCTCACGCCCTAAATTACTTCAAATGAATCAAGTTGTGCATAAAAAACACGGTGATCGTTGACAGCGCTATCGCATAAAAGGCGAAAATCAAGAATTATTTTTTCATTGAAAGATCGTAAAACAATATTTCGTCTTTCGTACATTTGTTTCGAAAGAAAGAAATGTTTTAGCTCTTCTTTTTATTGAAATACAAGGGGTCATTCATTGTCAGCAAAAACAAATTAGAAATCAACATATTTGAAAATAAAAACATCTGTTTCTCTTAGCATCGAGTCAATAAAACAAAAAGCAAATATTATTTTTTTTCTAATAACTAGAACAAAACATGAATTATGCTGTCCTATGTAAGAGCACCGTTTACATGCTGATTTTTACTGAATGAGTCTCACAAACAATACAAAAGTGTAAATATAAGTAGCGTTGATAAATTAATGTTTATTTGCAATTATGATGTGAATATTATGGGTAGTTGCATTAAGGCAGAAAACAAATTAAAATGGATAGTCCGTCCAAGATCAAGAGCAAGTTGAGTGCGCTCGCATTTGCTATGCCAGATCTGTGCCAAGATATGATGAATCATCTGTCAACAACGCCTTTTCTACCAATGAAAAAAAAAGTATTTAGAATGAAACATATTTACGCGAGTCACTGATCAGATATTAATGCACAATGACTTGATGAATGAGTCGATTAGTCATATTTTGAATATCGATTACTGAATTTAAATCGTGTTTATAACATAATTAATGGGTGTGTGAGTGTCTGGTAGTGATTTATTATGTTGGAGGACATTCAGACTATCCGCGAAGTTGAAAAACATCGCCGTGAAGAAAACGACAATGATCGCTGTGACCAATCACACAACATCACTCTCTCAAGCAGGTAGTCACCAATAGGATATCATCTGTATCCTCTCTGTTCCCTCTGTTCGGTGGTATATATATACCTCTACCTAAGAAGGAAGAGGCGATTCAGTTAATAATAATAAATAAAGACACGAAAGATAGAGAAAACCGTTACAGTATTGACAAAGCACATAGTACATGTAAAGATGTAAAAACAAAAATACAAATAATCATTCGAACATATCTCTTGCATTGATCGGACGTGTTTCTTTCCTTTCCTTACGTATACTTGTTTACATACATTATAAAAAAAAACACGCGTCCAACGCGTGATCGCGGTTAATCGTTAATTCCACAAAATTTTTGGAATTAATTATCCAAAGATATGATAAACAATTATCCAAATCAGAACAATCGTAATAATATCGATCGAAATAATCAACAAAACTCGTCCAAACGCTTTTACGACCAACCAACAAATATACAATACAATGATAGTAATAATCAACGACAAATTCGTTTAGTTCCTCCACCATCGAGAAAGAATATGGATCTTGTTGATTCACCACTTACACCTGGTCGATGTACTCACTCTGAACTCAATGACGACGATGATTTTCAACCTGACGTACAAAACAAGAAACAAAGACAACGAAGTACTGAACTCGAATTTGACAATCAATGGGATAATCGACAACAAAACCACAGTAGTGATAATTCATCTCTACAGCAACAACAACAATATCATCATCATCATCAACACCAACAAATACAAATACATGATACCAACAATGACAACAATAATCCTAGTCCACCTCGGCTGACACAACGGCATGAACAAAGTCAACTTCAGCAGCACCGCTTCTCATTAAGAACAACCGATGCCCGTACAATTGCGCATGAAAATAGAAGTAATCAGCAACGTAACAGAATCACAAATGAATCAACTCGCTATGCTCAAACTCGATTCCCATTTCAACCTTTTGTCATTCGATTCGCATCCGGAAATGTAAAAGAAAAAGAAGCTGCGTATGAATTAGTAAATCATTATAAAGATATTCATCATACAGATATGTCTATTGCTCATATACGTCAATCAACACTAAAATGCCAACAAAACGATTACGATTTATTAATTTATGTAAAGGACTCTCTATCATTTATCACATTATTTAATCAACAAAACTGGCCGAAGAAGATTGGTGCTATGGAGTTCACGTTTCCTTCTACGCCTTCTTTTCCACCTCAACTTGCATTTATCATTAAAAATGTTGACTTACGAATTAATATGGACGATTTTACGAAAGAGGTAGAAACCACCTACCCAGAAATACATAATGTTATTCGATTAAAAAATAAATTTCAAAATAATATTAAATTGAATAAAAATTGAAATTCTATCGTCAACGAAACGTGAAGAAATCTTAAACAAAGGTAAAATTATTGTACAAAGTATGACTCATGATGTAGAAGCTTATTTAGCACCTGCCGATGTTTTGATCTGTTCAAAATGTATGGGTATAGGACACTTTAGAAAACAGTGTACAGAAGCAGAAGAAACATGTAAAGTGTGTGGTACATCCTGCCCTGATCTTCGCCAACATAAATGTTCAACAGTTATTAAATGCATTCACTGTGATGGCGATCATCATTCAAATGCATTAAAATGTCCAATCGTAAAAAGCTATCGTGCTACATTAACAAAAAAGTTACTATCGGCAAATCGTCCTCCACCACCACATTCTGCATGGTCAAATAATAATGGTAATATTAATATTAATAATAATACTAAGTATCAACATAATTGGGCAGATTATCCTCAATTGCCACCACCACAGAAACAAAACATACCATATTCTACAGCCAGTAACGAAATGATTAACAAAATTGGAGAACTGATTGGCACAATGCAGAAAATTAATGATGTACTAGTTATAACAGAGAAGAAAAACCAAGAATTCGAACAATTTATCATTGATAGTAAAAGCAATGATGCTAGCCTGTCCAAGAAACTCGATCAACTAAATGAAAAAGACAAGGATTACAAGAAAGTTCATACACAACATGATATTAAGCTATCCCGACATGAAAATGTATTTACAAAATTAGTACTGCCGATGTTAGATGAAATCGCAAAATTTATGGTGAACATAAACCTTGATAAAAATCTTGGTGTATTAAATGCAGATTTTCAAGTTACAATAAATAGAATGCGTGCACAATTGACGAACGTAAGCTTAAACAAAGACTTCTGATGATACTGTCTCCTATTGCAAAAACTTTTTACCCCTATGGTTACTCTTGTATCCATCAAAACAATTTCTATAAACGTGAATTTTTTCTGTGTAAAGCACAGGCTGATCTATCGCACTTTGATTTTTTGTTATTCTCACAAATTCTAGCAGAATGGGAAAGTTCACCATTACTTCTTGATTGTTTCAAAATTTGGGAACCTTCAAAGTCATCGACACTTCTTCTATTGTTAAAAGCTTACATATTCTATCGTTCAACGTTCGAGGTTTAGACTTGCGCTATCAGGAAGTATTACTTCTCTCAAACACGTTCAAGTTTGATATTTTAATTTTACTAGAAACAGGATTGATAGGCTTTTCTAACTATAGTCAAGTCTTCTCTAAATACAAAATGTTTTATCAAAAAGGAGAAAATTCAAATGGAGGTGTAGTTATCTTCGTACGAAACGATTTAAGAACAGAAAGAGTTGTTTGCAACTTACCAAATGTTTGTGTGATAGACATCAAAGTTGAGGAACCGATTAGAATAATTGGAGTATATGCGCCAGAAAGTAAAAGTTGGAAATGGGATGATCTTTCACTCCTAGTCACTAAAAAATGCGTCTTCTTTGGAGACTTCAATGTTGATTTAGAAGATGATAATTCTAAGGCAGAAAATTTGATGCAGTGGTCAGATTCTAATTTCCTCTCTCCTTTCATTCCTGATTCTTGAACCTCGTTACGTTCAGAGCGCACGATAGACTATGCTTTTGCGTGTGGTTCTTCTCTCTCTATTCAAACATATGAAGGTAATGTTACTAGTGATCACAAGCCTATTATTTCCACTATAGCAATCAATTCAAATGAAAATTTATTCGCACGTAATATTAACTGGAAAGTTTTTTCTTTGTTTTGTGAGTATGCTTATCCTTTCTGGGAAAAAACTGGTGTTTAAACTATTTAAACGAAGTGTATAACGACTATGTAGCTTTCCTCTCTCTTCTCACGTCGCGCTGTACAGTACTTTTCCCAATCAATAAATATCGTATTGCTATTCCATGCGAATTAAGGAGTTACATGTCACACACTCGACCATTCTCCCTTAGACAAAAAATAACAGGAGATAACGATTTAAAAAATGTAGTGAAAATAAGAAGAAAACTAGCTAAAACAGAACTGGAAATATTTTTATCTCTACAATTATCTTCTTCTTTCGCTTCTCATAACGCCTCGTCACATCTGTCAGTCTCGTTCTGGTCACGTACCAAAACGTTCATGAGGTCGTCTTCTGTCTCGTTAAACGGATTCATTACTCAGAATAGTGAAGTGGCTAAAGAATCAGAAAGAATGTGCGAATTAGCAGCAGATCATTTCGAAAATTTCTTTAGAGAACCCGATAATATCTACAGGCCGCATCCATATACAGATGCACCAGAAATAGAGTGGGAAAATTACAATGAGGAAATACCACCGGTAACAATCGAAGAAATTTTGGATGTAGTTCATTCTCGTAAAAATAAAAAGTCATGTGATGCACATGGGTTGTCTAACTTCATGTTCTCTTCTTTACCAGTTCATTACTGGTCGCTACTTCTCCAAATCTTCAATCTTTCTCTCTCTAGTACAATAGCTCCGAAGCAATGGAAAGACACTCGAGTTCTGCTCCCCGCTAAAAAAGAATCTATCTGCGACGTCACTACTACTCGTCCCATTTCTCTTCTTGATGTATTTTTAAAAGTGGATGAAAAATTATTCTTAACTCGCTTTAATGATCTATTGAAACTTAGGGGTACTTTACCGGATACACAATCGGGTTTCAGACCTGGATTTCGTCTACAGACATGTTTACTACTGTTCCTAGAACAAGTATCAAGCCTAATGGCTAATAGCTCACCAGTAGCTACAGTGTTTGTAGACTTCAAAGCGGCTTTTGACCAGTTATGGTTTGACGGCTGTATAGGGAAACTAAAAAAGATGGGCATTCTAAGAGCGTATCTTAGATGGATAAATACATGATTAAGAGGAAGAAGAGCCTACATTAAAATAGGTGGAGCAAAGTCAAGATGGTTCAACATCTCGAGAGGTGGACCGCAAGGATCCATTTTTTCTCCTACACTCTCCATATGTTATCATTCAGACATGGAGGATTTCCTTCCATCTTGTCTTAGTTATTTCTTCGCTGATGATTTAGCTGCAGCGTTGACAGGCAGTATAGGAATGAAATTCACAGCGCAATGTTTAGATTTAGAACGTAAACTGAAGTTATTCTTTGAGCAGCTCGAACTTTATGCAATATTAAGTGTTCAGTCCATCAATTTCTCTAAAACTGAAGCCATTTGGTCCGCGAGGGCCATAGGTGGTCCCAAGTTCGAGCTTACATGCGGAGAAAAAAAGATACCATGGGTCAGTAAATATAAGTACTTAGGTTACTGGATCACACCTAAACTTATGATGAAAATAAGACAAAGAATTTGTATGATTAATTCGTTTCGATTAGGTGGGTCCACCTATACTGATTTGAGAAAAGCGCTATTTCTATCCTATGTTCTACTCCTATTCACGTGGATATACCCACTTCTCCCCCTATTCACAACAAACCAACAACAACAGTTAAACCACTTCTACTACATATGTATACGTAGGATATTCTACTGTCAGCACTGGCCGGATAACTTCGTTTCCTTTGCCCTGAACGAAATAAGTTTGGATGACAAGTGCTTGAAATATTGGAACAGGTATCTATCCACGCTATCGAGCACGAAAGATGGAGAGTTAATGTTCGAGCAGATGAATTTCAATGCATTCAGAGAAGCTTGGCTGCTTAAAGAAAATAGTATAGCTGGAGTCTTTAGATCGAAGAGATATTTGGAACATAAGCCGGTACTTGAGAAAATTGTGAACTGGTGCGCAAGTATAGCCTCGAACGAATGCATTGTAAACTATAACATAGAGGAAGTAATGACCCTGTCGGAGTTCCCAGAAACCTTTGACGCTAGCACATGAATTTCGATTTAAGCTAGCGATTCGTTTGTTTCTTCTTGCTTCTTTATTTCTAGTTCTTCTTTCCTTCTCCTCTTACTCTTCAGTTCATCTTGGTGCACAAATGTACGAGTACTAAAACATGTATTTTTATTATTGTTACACTTTTTTCCCTCTCTTTGTTAACCTTAATGATGTTTCTTTCATGTTCACGTTCATGTCTTCTTCTTCTCCATTTTCACTGCTCTTTTGTTTTTCTCATTTGTAACTTTCGTACTGAAAGGACCTTCATGGTCGTCAGGTTATTGCAAAATAAAAAAAAATAAAAAAAAAATAAAAAAAACAAAAAAAACAAAAATACAAATAATAAACAATTTTTCGCAAATAGTGCAATTTTTATTTATTGAACATGGAGCATATAAAGCAAAATCTCTTCATTCACGGCGAAGACAACTTGATTCGTTGACTGCATCAACATATTAATATTTCTCATACTCCAGATACACATGCACACAAATATTTGAGTTAGACAAATAAAACGACACGCAAAATATTCATGTAGTCAAATGAATAAGATCCAACAGACGACTTGTTTTCACTTTTGCATTATTATTTTTTTCATAAATCAATGGTTCAATTTTTGATATCGGCTATTTGTTTTATCGAAATCTAACATATCTACTCGAAATAGTGCCAGATTTAGTTACTTACGTACAATAAAACCACAGTATAACAATTTTTTCATTGTGATTTTCAAATACAAATAATATTTTAGCCTCCATCTATCAGAATATGTTCAATCTAAAGATTGGAGAAACTGTTCTATAGTATTATTAGATCTTCATACATCACCACTAGATGCTCGAAGCAAACTGATTCAAAGCGCTAATGATCAACTGTTTTCTATATAAGCATAGTCTAGTAATCAACTCTTGTTGTACGAACTGAAAATTGTTTCTTTCATCCTATCGAGGACATAAATTATTTCATCTGTGAGAGCATTATAAAACGATTGACAGAATGTAATTACTAGCAAAGGAAATTAAGAAGTAGTATAAGAGTCAATTTTTATGCGCTTTATTTATTCATTCCTATATAGAAGATATTTTATGTTGAGTTTAAAATCATTAGATAGATCAATAGTAAAAGACCCTTTTTGTGCTGCATATAAACATGACAAATATTTCACTGTATTTTTAATCATGCAGGTAGGTAAGTCGACTTTATTTATTTGTGTTCACAATATTTATTCGTGTTCGTTTCGTTGCAAATCAAACCTGCACTACTATCTACTGCTCACTCTTTTTGTATTTGTGTAAAATATTAAAGACTTTTACTAGAAAGAAACATTAATACACACTTCAGATGTAAATAAAACCTAAAACTGTATTTCTCTGTTGAGTTCAATGGCGTATACATTTTCTCTCTCAAACTACTGAACTAGTTCAAAACGACTGGAATTCTAGATGGTTTTGACTGATAAAACTGCCCTGCAAGAAATTGGATAGTTACTGATAAAAATTCTTCTTTTTATAGATTTAATGCATTTTAAAAATACATGTCAGCTTAATGTCTTGTGCAGACAGAAGAGATGAAATGAAATATAGATATGTAATCGAAATCTACTACATATATGCCTGTATGCTAGGTTGTTCAGTTGTTCTCTTGTACAAATGAATTGTATCTAGTTTCTGAATGCTCCAATAAGTTTATTATAGCAAAGATATGTATGTTAAATGAAAACATAATAGACGCCCACACCCACGCTCACACCCGCACCCACACCCACACCCAGCTATTATAACAGTGGAAAACATTAGAAGTTAATGTTATTGACTGATCCTAGGCATTGGTTTTTTTCATTACAAAGTTCTGTCGTATTGCTCATCAATCCGTTCGCGCGACGGGCTACAGTCACAATAGCATCGTGTTTCAATGCGTGAACTTGTTGAAAGAGTGCAGTTTGATCATCACAGTCAAGCTGTGATTTTGCACTATTATGAAGAACCATGGAAAGACCTGCAAGAGCGATCTAATTTAAAGAAATCAACATAAATGATTGAATGAAAGATGCATATCTTGTTTTCATACTGTTGCATCAAGAGACGACTGCATATCAGCGACGCACGTTGTACGAGCCACGGTAATTACATTTGGGTCGATAGCACCCATGGCTCGTTTTTTAGCAGCATCAATAAAAAGATCGCATAGTACAGGAATGACAGCTATCGGTGAAGACGTGTACTGAGTTGGACACTTCCATTTTCGACATAGACCAGCCGATGCATCGATCAATAAAAATGATTGATAGATATAAATATTGTGATATGAACCCTACAAAGAAGGAGATGATCATGACTTGAATCAATACTAAACATGATGGAATTATTAAAACATACTATTTTTTCGATGTGCACTATAATAGATTCTGTCTTGTGGAAATGACTCCACGATGAACCTTCTGATAACGTCACTGATGTGACCAATGTAGTATTAGCACACACTGGTGGAGCTTTATTACTACTTTTAATCACGCAACGGGGGTAGCCATAGAAAGTCAAAACGTACTAGAATAGCAAAAAAGTCAAGTTTTTTCTTCGTACAATTGTGACCAATGCAAAGAAGTAATTCTTACCTCAGTAATAAGATAAGGGTTCGGTCCAACAAGAACAGAAATCGAAACGACACTATTATTGATGAGCAATTCCCAGCCCGTTGTTTGACACCAATATGTAGTTTGCACTCCTCCATACTTTGATGGAAACGGAACTAGATGAGGATCACCAGTATACGAACATTGACCATAATAACTTGGCTCCACTGTAGAAAAAGAGTAGAATAATAAACCCTTGCCCTTTCTAAAGATTATGCTAAACTCTTTAAGGGTTTATGAAACGAAGGGTATACGAAAAAAGATGATACAAGAAAAAAAGGGTTTATTAATCTGAGATTTAAGAAGAAGGGTATATGATTTTATCTGCAAGGGTATTTTAATATGCGGTTTCGAGAAAAGAGTTTATTACTTTCTTAAAAAGGGTATTTTATTCTACGGTGAGGGATTTATTGTTCTACTCCATCATCAAAAGGTTTTTTTTATTCTTCGTTCAAAGGATTACCCTTTTTAACTGATATATATCATGAAAATTTCCCACAGGGCACTTCAAACAATTTAATATAATAAAGATGTTAATCCAATCATTTTCTCACAATGCAGCCATTCATGCATCGATGCGCTTTCCATTTCGTACCTGTTTCGTAAAACATAACGGTATGATATAGAGGCGCTAATTTCGCTATTAAATTTTGAATCATTTCGAGCCAAACTTCAATCCGCACATTGTTTAAAAATCAAAGTCAGATGGCTTCGCGTGAGCAACTTCATACAAAAGCTTTGAGTTAAATCAATCCGAAAGATATTATGGCAATTGAGGATTTATTCCAAACTCGCTGTGGTGTTCAGGAAAAAGTTTGTTTTTACATCCACCCAAGAGAACAAATTAAAGTGGGCATTTTGCTTCAATATATTTATATTGTTCCTTTACTTGGTTGAAAATAAGCTAAAAATAATGTAAGTAATAACATTCCAAAAATAATTTCAGGTTGTCTTTAATTTAGGTCAGTCGCCACAGCTAATGAAAAATAAGGGTGATTTACTTACATATATATATATATATATATATATATATCTTCTCTTTTATTTACTTCCATTCAAAATTCAAGATGAAAACGGAAGTATTAAAAATTTCTCTCAGATTATTTCGTTTTCTTTTTTATTTCGGTCCATTGATACAATGTATTCATAGTGAATATATCGTTTCACATGTCTTTATAAATCTTATATTTTTCTACCTTTAGCCCAATATCAAACAAATAGTGTAAGTATAAAAATATTTTATAAATAGCTATTTCCTTTTTTTCTACTTAGATTCGTCGAAACTATACATGAGAAAGAGCTATGAAGATCGATTTCAGACATATGGGGCAACCCAGTCTGGCAAGCGCCTTAAAAAACGCGTCACAGCGAATGCATACTTTGGCGCTTTCATGTTGTAAGACATTAAAACATCTTAAAATTTCGTAAAAACGCCGTATTTATGATTTCATGCATTTTGCATCTACATCTCCTAATAGAATTTCTTATGACCCACACTATATACACCTCTCCAAACAAATATGCGCTATTTTAAACACATGTATTAATAAAGATTTTAAAAATTGATGAACAATTTTATAAAAGTATGAGAAATGTATACGTTATAGGTTTCTAGAAAAATAAGAAATATGTTAGAAAATTTTTGAAAAAATGGAAAAAAACGTTTTTAAATCTTTTTAAAATTCCTTTTGAGAAAATATACGTTTCTAAAACAAATTTTTCCTAATTTATTTGAATATTTAAAAAAATAATTTTTTCAATGGAAAATATTTGTATCCTTTTCATGAAAATAAAAAAATGTAATAACAATTGCCCCGCTTAACTTTATATCATCTTCAGTTTCGTATAAAAATTTGTTCGATTTAAGTAGTATTTCTTACTTCATCTTGTTATCGTACGACTGACCGAATGGATAACATCTTGAACTATCAACCAATTAATCTCATGATCGAACCTAGGACAACGCAGTAAGTTCCAAAACCTTAATTTTAATCTGGTAGTTAAATTACAAAAAATACGTTGTGATGTGCATTGTGAGCACAAACGAAAAAGAATCATAGTTTACTCATTTGTTTTTGGATTCTTTTTTCTGAAAGATTGGTAACGCGTTATTTAAGGCTCTTGTCTGAATGGAACAAAAGTAATAAACCCTTTGAAGGGTTTATGAAATTGCAACGTATCATAAACCCTTTAATAGTATATTAATATACGGTTTTTATTCACAATGTGTTTTGTTATGCCTGCCGTTAATTGATATACTATGTCTAATGCCGCAAAAATAATGATAAGGAAGATTTCTTTTCGGATCATAATGCTAGAGAAGAGTAACGAGAACAAATTATTATCTTAGTACATCGAGTCTTGTGTTTAAATACTATTCTATTACTGATTCTAGAACATATTTTTGTCCAAATAAAGGACGCCAATTGAAATGATTTACACATAAGTTTTGTAAATTATAAATTACTTATCAATCATCGACTTTTTAATAGACTATAGTAGGCATTAAAAATCTATTAGAATTATTAACTCTAAGAGCAAGCGTTATTTTGTTTGCTTGAATATATATATATATATATAGAGAGAGAGAGAGAGATTAAAGACCCAGCATTACGGGCGGACTGTTGATTTTAATTTGAGTTAATTAAGTGGCTTTACTTAACACTTAATATTAAATTAACGCAAAGTGCCACCCCTAATCCTGAGTTCTTGCATTATCCACGCAAAAAAAATTCGATTAATAATCAGATTGAAAATCTATTATAATGACACTATTTCTATCTTATTTTAATCAACTTTTTCAACTTTAAACGATAGATTATTTTTGATTTTGATTTTGTTTTAATCGATTATAATAATTTTGTAGGTAATCAAGTAAAATTGATTAAAATAAGAAAAAAATAAAAAATAATCTACCTTTTAAGGTTGAAAAATCTGGTGAAAATCAGATCATAATAGTGCCATTAAAATAGTTTTCTAATCTCATAAAATTCAATTACAATGAGATTTTTTACGATTTTGTTTCACATGGGTACCATTGTAGCCATAGCTTTATGTGTTATTATCAAGCGCCTATTCCCTTCGAAGGGTAAACAAAAAGAACATTTTTCTACCTATTTCTTTTCTTATGATCATGTTTTCGAGGCGCAATAGGACTAGTTGAAATGATATTGATTAAGAACAATCGATGTAAGTATTCACACGTACCATGGACATAAATTTAACAAACAATCTGTGTGAGACATGCAAATTCAATCCTATATTTGAATCCCGCATCGGTTGGAATCGAAGATCTGTGCACGGAAAAGTAAGATACTATGGCGTCACTTATCCCATGAATACTGGTGATGTTAATGTGAATTTCTTACAAATCAACCGAATGAAACCAATTCTGGTGAGTTTATTAAATTGCATGAACATGTTGAAGAAGTTTCACAGTTTACCAGTCATATCAAATTGATTGATATAAGAAAAAAGCTACAAGGTCTCGATAGATTTTTAAAAGCTGTTTCTTATTACTATCAGCGTGGCGCCAAAATACATCGCCCTATCTCTGCACTCCTGCTATCTATAAGCTCACTGTTGGGATTCGAATGAGCACACCAGTCGGAAATGTCTGAAAGGTGATACTATAATTAATGCGATGCGAAGCAGAAGCATTTATGTAGTCCGTCGCGAGTTTTTAATGCGATGCGAAGCAGAAGCATTTCTGTAGTCCGTCGCGAGTTTTTTTAATGCGATGCGAAGCAGAAGCATTTATGTTATCCGTCGCGAGTTTTTTTTTTTCTTTCTTTTTTACTTGAGATCGTACGCATAATTTTAGTAGTTTTCTGACGC